AAAAAAACACTACTTATTTAAATATTTCTGCCTATGAATTAATCACCATGTATTTGTATCGTGCATTTTGCTATTAATCCACCCAATTTTTCGCCAACATTCTAAAAGACGTTAGATGCTCACTTGGGTGAGAGATAGATACTAGCATTTGGACTTGGACGGGTCATGAAAATATTAATAGATTTATTTATAATTTTATACATAATTCACAATACATTACATGAAATATACCAATTAATACGGTCAGATAAAACATAACATATTCAAAATTACTCTATATTTATAGCATTATTTTTGTGTTTTTTAGTTGTAATATAATACATTTTCTATTTTTACTGTTAGAATATCACTTGTGAGTTGTCCACATCGTTCATACATGGAAAATAGACCCACTTTATAAGACTAATGGGCTACTCCTCCTTTCACCAATTGGTTTTAGGATGGAACCCCACTTCGGCTTCATATGGACTTTTTCCGTTTTCCCATGGTGCGCTTCATGATAGTGGGCTCGCACCCATTTTTTTCTATGTGGAACCGTGCGATGACGTACCCGTTTTTCTCAACCAGTTGGGTTTGGGCTTTCGAATGACTCACAAGTGAGGGGGCGTGTTAGAATATCATTAGAATATCACTATGAGTTGTCCCACATCGTTCATACATGAAAAATAGACCCACTTTATAAGACTAATGGGCTACTCCTCCTTCCACCAATTGGTTTTGGGATGGAACCCCACTTGGGCTTCATATGGCTTTTCTCGTTTTCCCATGGTGCGCTTCATGATAGTGGGCCCGCGCCCATTTTTCCGTAGTTTCTGTCATTTACAAATCAAAACTAATTTTTATCGTATTATAGAAGTAATTAAGAGATATGAAAAAATTATACGAACATTTAATCGATGGTTGGATTGCTTATGTCGTAGCTTATACCATCTTGGTGATTAACTTTACAACTGTTTAGATCGCATATGCAATACTAACTAGCCCTCTCGCTGGCTAATTGTTCAAGCGCCTAAAAGAACGCCTCAATGAAAATCAGGCTCTCAGGTGACGTGTAGGTAGGCCTGTAAACGAGTTGAGTCGAGCTCGAACTTAGGGTGCTCGAGCTCGAGCCTTTAACGAGCCAAGTCGAGCTCAACTCGTTAAATAAACGAGCCAGAAATCGAGCTTCAGCTTGGCTCGTTAAGGCCTCGAGCTCGAACACTTAACGAGCCATACTCCAGACAAGCCGAGCCAGACTCTTTTAATTTAACAGCACTACATGTTGGCGTGCACTACGATTTTTAGAACCATGTTGTTAGAAAACCGTGCTTTGCAACTCATACTTACATTCTAAACTGTGCAATATTTAAATATTATAATACGTTCATCATTGAAAAACATATAATTATCTGCTCATTACACTATTTAACAGCAACATTACAAATTACATATAAAACTTAAACAATGCCATTCGGATTCGACATAAAACATTATTCTTTTAAGGAAGAAAAAACGGAGTATAGAGTTTTATATTCAGTGTCATCTATCAATTAAGGGGATGCTTAGATATAAAATGTTTATTTTGTTTGGATTTTTTGATTTTATTTATTTAATTTTGAAAAATGTGGTATGGTTAGTTGTTAGTGTGTTTTTGAGTTTATATTAAAATAATATTTAAAATAAAATAATTAAATTTGATTTATAGCAAAAGTAAGAGAAAGATGATGTGAAGTGATGGTAGTTAAAATTATGTGAATGGATGAATAATAAATTAAAGTTGATGTAACGTGTAAGAATGAATTAGTGATATTACTTAATTATATTGATAATATTGAGAATAGTGAAATTGAGTTACATTTGAGTTAAAAAAAAAAAGTGATTGGTTAAAAATAATTAGATTTTTTTTTTTTGGAAAATCCATATCCAAGCATGCTCTAACTAACGGAGGAGCTTGATTTATTATTTTTTTTTAAAAAAAAATTTAATTATACAGTTTTTGTAACATTGATTTTATGTAATAAAACAAACGTAACTTATTTTAAATAGGCACGAGGACGATTACGTCAATGTAACTAGTATGCAATTCGTGGGACGAGGAGTGCAATATTATACTTAATTTATTAACTTAAATGTAAATGAACACAGTATATTCAAGTTAAGCGCACAAAACCAGTAAAGGCTTGACTGAATATAAGTTTTTTTATTGGATTTGTAAGTTAATTGGGGATAATTTTAAAAAAGTTGGATGGATTAGGTTTGAGTGTGATTTTGAGTTTATATTAAAATAATATTTAAATAAAATAACTAAAGTTGATTTTATATAAAAGTAGGAGAGGTGTGATTGTAAGTGATAGATAATTAAATTATGTGAGATGATGAATCGTGAATGAAAGTTTATTTGATATGTAAGAATAATTTATTGATATTATTTAATTATATTAATGATATTATTTAATTACATTAATAATATTGAGGATATTGAAGTTGAGTTAAATTTGAGTTACATTTGAGTTGTGATTAATTTTTTTTTTTTTTGTTTTTCTGATAAGAAATTATATCCAACATGCACTAATTTCTGGGCTTCTCGAGTATCAAGGTACATCCCGCCCGCCTTATAAAGAATCGCCAAATGGAGGTGATCTTGTTCGCCGGGGAGGAGGAGCTACCCGTCTCCGATCTAGGTCTCGCCGTGGTCGTGGCACTTCGACGGAGTGGCGGGCGGCCGAATCCTGGGATTTTTCGCTTTGCCGGTCCTCTGGGCTTACTTCGAATGCCGGTTGCGGCTCTAACTTCTTCTATTGGGGGGGTTTGGGGAGGAGGGTTTCGACCATTCCACCATGATCCTCTTCGGCCCTGGTGCTAGGCGGAGAGGACGGCCGGCGTCTTAGGCTGAGGCCTGGTGTTCTGTTGTCGGGAACTAGTCGTTGGTGTCGATTCGGGTGGTTGTGGGTGTGATTGTCTCCAGGTGTGGGTGGGATGTTCATCAGGATTGGAGTTGGACTTAGTTAGGCGTTCTCTTACAGTTTCGGGGTCAGATTCTTGGGCCGTGACTCTGTCCGTGTGGAAGGATATCTGGTGGTGTCACCGCCATTTTTCTTGGTATGGATTCCTGTGGAGGGAAGGATTGTTGCAGTTGTAGTTTTGTGTTTTTATGTTTTTCCTTGTTTTTAGGTCGTGTTTTATTTGTTCTCTCCCCGTTGGGAGTGCGTTTGGTGTATTATCCACTTGTGGGAGCTATTATTATTCTCCCTTTGGGATTTATCGAGTGTGTGTGTGTGTTTTAGGTTGGTTCTGGTTACCGTCTGTCTGTGTAGTCCTCTCAACTAGATTCAGCGATTTAGTTGTTTTATTCGATCGTGTGGCTGATTATTCTGCTAAGCGACTGTTTTCTAGTCTTGTTTGTTTTTGTGAATATATGTGATTCATATCGTTTCGGAAAAAAAACATGCACTAAGAAAAGTAATTTATCTTGCTACTCTTGAAAAAATCCTTATAGAAATGCTATGGAGCCATCGGATCTTTATGGAGTCATCCATAACTTTATGTATTGACACATGTCTAATGCGTATTTATTGCAGGACACGTGTCAATACCACCATTTATGGATAACTATAGACAACTCCATAGCAAAACCGAAAATCTTTAATGCCACCTTCACTTCAGAGGATATCCCAGGACAATTGGATATCCCTCACATATCTCATGTTTACAAGCCTTGATTTGGACCCGCAAGGATATCATGGGTCCTCCCAGATAACTAATTTAATTACTTTTTTCCATGATTTTTTTTGTCCACCCACTATTGGTTGATAGTTTTATCCTTGCTAGTAAGTCATCTAAAATTACCATATTTTCCCTAACTTGCACTCATTTCTTCTCAAAATATCCTTCAACTTTTACATATTTTCCAATCTTGCCACCATAAATACTTTTCAGTTTTGTTATAATGAAATTTGAAATGAAACATTGTCGAACCTTTAGCATTCTTAATTAGTTAGCATGTTTGACCGTTAAGGTATGATATTCTAGAGGTTACACAATTTAATGATTTTCAATTATATAAAATATAAATAAAAAGTTAATTTATATATATATATATATTAATTATTCTTAATATATTTTTTAAAATAATATATGAATAGTGTTGACGGTCGACCGTCAACGATTTTCGCGTTTTAATGGGTGATTTAATTAGGGGTTACAGAATAATTAATGCACAGATGTTAAGTGGTGCAAAAAGACCTCGATCGAGGTTCGCACGACCTGAATCTGCTTCATAGCCTGTTCATAGACCAGCAAAATGAGTCGGGAGAGAATCTCAACGTTAGCACTTTGACGATCAAGTCAGTCTACAGTGACGAAGAAAACGATGAACAATGTAAATATGCTTTGTAAGTATAAAAAGTGTGTAGAGTGTAAATGACATACCACACCCCTTTATATAGAGGTGTTACCTTGTAGCTCAAGTTGCCTGGATGGGCTGCCCGAGTGCTTGAACTGCTCGGTCGTACTGCCCAATTCTGTTAGGCCACACCCAATCTACGTGTAGTTCTTATCCTAATTATATTTCTTTTTATTCATTAGTCTTCCTTATTAGACGGTCTAATTATGCGACCAACCCGATTCACCGTGAGGTAGAATGCCATCTACGCTGAACACGTACGTTGTCTGCCAGGTCGATCTATCAACGTCATACCTTAATGTCAAGTTTCTACCAAGTCGTCTGAGGGTCCTAACTCGATCTGTCAGCGACGTCACTCTCGACCTAATGACTCTCCGACTTTTCTGGCCTTCAACCTTTTATCGACCTAATGGTTTACCCAGTTCGATTAGTTGGTTTCTCGGGTCAAGTCGATCTTGTTTGGTATACCATATCATCTGGTCTCCCCCACTCTGGTCGAGGTAGGATAACTCGATCTAAGAGTAATTTTGTAATTTATGATTTATTTATCGAGCTCACAGTTTGTCCAGTCGACCTTAAAACTTACACTCCCTTCGTTTAACTAACACGCTCCTTTCGACCTAAAGCCACAATTTTGAGTTCAAAATTCAAAATTTGAATTTCTGAAACCTTGTTAGGTCAAATCCATCGTCCTACTTCATTAGGATGATGTCCTACCCACGTGACTGCCTCACGGTTCGTGTCATCCTTGTGCAATGTGCCATCAAATGCCGCATTAATGTCGTCCGTTTGGTTTCCATTTAATCTTACGTTTGTATGTGCGTAATCTTTTCAGTCAGTTTACTCTCTCTCTCCATCTCATTCATTTGTATCAACTTGATCCAACAGTCCTACACGATCAGTCCTTTCAACTGCCTCCTTTGATCTCAAACATTCATTTCGACCATGATCCAATGATCGAGGTTTATCGACCTCTTGCACCTCCTTTTCTATTTCCTTATACATAAGACCCTTGGCCAAATTTTGCAGTTTTTCCACCTTTGCGAAAAATCCCTTTCTATAATTCTCTCAAGCTTTTTGCAAAATCCGAAGTCGACACCTCTGCTACTCTGTCGTCGACCGCCGCATTGTCTTTTTTTACCACCAAGTTTCGTCGCGATCATGTTGAGGAGTAAGTATTATTATTTTTTTGTCTACTAATTTGTTTGTTTAATTCCTTTTCAATTTTCTTCATTCATCCCCTTGTTCATGCATTTTTTTTTTTGTCGATTTACCCCCATAAATTTTCTCTTTTTCATTTTCTTTTGTAGATTCTCGCGCCACCAGTGAGTTCGATGGTGCTCCCGCCAGCCGGCATATGAGCTCTCCATCATTCTCTGTGACCTCTTCTCTTTCATTCTCATATTCCTCCTCCTTAGAGCTTATTCCCCAGCCGATTCTTATATCTTCTCGACCTACTCCACCTTCTCCAACTGCCCTTCTTCTTCTCGACCTGTTCCACCTTCTCCGATTGCCCCCTCTTCTTGTCGACCTCTCCGCTTGGTCGATGAGTCTGAATCTAAAGAAGAATAGGAAGCGAAATCCCCTCCTTGGTCTAATTTAGTGACTAATGCTATCCCCATGAGCGAACCTATTCCCCATGCCTGTCGTAGCACAATCCAAGACATGGTCAATGTTGCTCGTAAGCCCAGTACATTCATCAACCTCAAGGAGGATTGGCTCGACTGCTTCCTACTCAACTGTTGTTTGCCTTCGGACTGGCGGTATGTCTCCCAGCAACCTTTGGACATCTACGACCATCCCCCAACCGACTGCAACACCTTTTTTCATGACCAAATGGAGCTCGGTCTTCGACGTTCTCCTAGCAAACTACTATTAGACCTGCGTAACATATACAAGCTCCCCCTCAACTAGCTCTCACCAAACTCCATCTGACACTTAGAAGTTTTTGCCTAACTTTCTCACTGTAGATTAGGTTACATCGACCAATAATTCTTTTGTTACTATTACGTATCTAAAGAGCGAAAGGGCACTTTGTACCTCGTAGCTCGTAACGAAGCTAACTTCATAAGTGACCTCCCCACCAACATTCCTCAGTGGAAGAATAAATTCTTTCATTTTTCTTCTTTCCCCCTTTCATTCGGTTCTACCTGGTTAGGCTTTCTACCTGCCAGGCTTTTTAGTCTTTCTCGAGATTCAACCTTCGACCTCTTGATTGCGTCTTGGAATAGCGCACATGTTGCCTCTTCCAATCTTGTCAACAACGAGAAACTGTTATT